TACTCTAGGTAGATAATTTATAATACAGAGCTTTTATTACAAACATTACACAATGATTATCTGTGCAAAGATGGATAATTATGATTGCACTTTTCAAGAAAAATGTGTGTACAACATATTTGCCATGTCCTTAAAGAAAATGCTAAATCAGTGCTACAGAAATTTAATGTTATTGTCGTTAAATGCCTTCAAGGCAATTCTGACTCATAAAAACCTTGTATAGGGTTTCCAAAGAGTGGCTGGTGGGTTTAAACTGCCAACCTTGTGGTTAGTAATCCAAGGCTGATTATATAGCACCACACCAAGACTAATATTATTATTGTTCAGTTCCATCATGTCAGTTCCAACTCATAGCAACTCTGTATAGAGTTTCTAAGGAGTGGCTGGTGAGTTTGAACTATCAACCTTGTCGTTCAAACCGACTTTGCATTCCAGCACATTAGCCCACTGTGCCACAATAAAACGCCAAGAAAAAAGGACAGTGTTATAGTTTTTGCTATAATGTACAATCATGTTTTAAAAAATAATAGACCATAATGTTGGGCTATTACTTTATCTTGGAAATTATGTACTTGTATTCCCAGTATAAATATGAGCTGTAGAAAGTAAAGTTTTAAAGTTCTATTGCTAATTGTTTTTATGTTTTTGTTTTCTAATTTTAGGTTTTAGTATAAAAGCAGTGCCATTCCAGAATGCCATCTTGAATGTAAAAGAACTTGGAGGTATAACTTTTAAAATATTTCTATATCTAGTCTTCACATTTACTAATTTACTATTAATATGTTACATATAAATAAAACATAATGGTCAGCTATTATTCTAATAGGCAATTAATTATTACCTTTTCTCTTGGTAATATATTTCTTGGAAATACTTCCTTCATGTTTTAAAAATTATTGAAAGGCTCAAACTCATATAAATGGTGTTTTCTTTTGTATGGCTCAAAGAACTCCACTATCAGTTGGGTTTCATACACTCCACTTGCTTTTAGTTGTTTAGATTGTTTATTCTTGATTGGAATATATTAAGATCATTTTAATAATATTGTAGAGAGATATTATACACTATGCAGGGCAAAGAACTATATTTTAGAGTAGTTTGTATTTATGCTGCAGATTTTATTGTATTAGGTCTTTTTAGCCTGTATTTGTTCTGATAATAAATCTGTGCCAAGGGTTTCTTTGGTGGCCAAGCACATTTATTGGATAGGCTGTACCCCTAACCATACATCACACAGTCTTTCATTACACTTTCTGTCTGGCATTTTTTAGTTGTGTTTTATGCCCGTCAGGGTCTTAACCCATGTAAATAGGTTAACAAAGAAATCGGTCAATTCAGTGAACCTACTTAAATTCTCTAATGACACAAGAAAATGATAAGTGCTCTGGAGTTCAGCACATCGGTGAGTTTAATGACTTAGAAGAAAGTTCTTTTCCATCTCTTTAATCACTTTGTGATATTGACTTTACCCTATGTTTTATTTTTGTTTTTTGTTTTTTTAAAATAGTATCATTCTGTGACCTGTGTTGAGCTTGATGAAATTGAAACACCAACTTTTTGCCATTTCAGTAATGCATTGTTATTTTTACCTCATAATCTATTAACTGGTCTTTTCAGAAATCTTTGTCTTCAGAGAACTAAATTTTTAGTACAGGCTTCCTTTTGTCCATCTGTTTAATAGCTTTGGCCTTTATAGTATTACTACTAAAAATCAACCATGATTGATCAATTCAGATATCCTTTAAGTCATTTGGTTTTGTTATTTTGGTTCTGAAAAAAAATAAATAAAAAGCATAAATATTCTTGTAATACTGGACATTTTCTGTGTAATGTGTTTAGAAATACTCTTTTTAATGTAAATATTTTTATGTCACTTTGTGATTTTTTGTGTGTGACTGTTTGCTTCTCATTGACAATAATATTATATGTGGATATTTTAAAGTTAGAGAACATTTTGTACAAATCCATGAAATCAATATATATTGTTTGAGAACTCTGTTGGTTTAAAATATGAGTGGTGCTTAACAAGCACTGTCTTATTAGGTTAGAAATCTTCAGAATACCCTCCAGGTGCAAGATAATGTTGATCAATTGATAAGGTATTTATTACATATAATGTTTGATAGAAGGTACCAAAGGACTAATGACACACAGGAACCACAACCTCCTCTAATCTTAGACCAGAAGAACAAGATGGCGCCCAGCTCCACTGCCAATCACTCTGACTACAATCATAATAAAGGTCCTGGTTAGAAGGGATAGAAAATGTAGAATGAAATTAAAATTTTAAGGGAAAAAACATCAGACTTACTGGTCTGAAAGAGACTGGGGAATTCTGTGAGACTGTCACCTGAACACATCATCCTGACTTTAAACTGAAGACTCTCCAGAGGCCATTTTTCTTGCAGTTAGTAAACAGATTTATTAAAATTAACCCTAACACCTATGAACAATGTTCTCCTGAGAACAATCAACTAGTCGAAATCAAAAGGACAACATTTGCCTAAAACCACAGATGAGAAGGCAGAAAGGGACAGAGAACCCAGGCAAGTGGAAATGGTGAACCCCGGAAGGAAAGGGAGAGTAGAAACACATTGCAGGGATTGCAGCCAATGTCATGGAGCAATTGATTTATGAATCATAGATTAGAAAATGAATCTCTATGTAAACTGTCTTCTAAAACACAATGAACTATTCCAAAAAATCAACAAGTCCGTTTTGAAGCTGAGAGAGGTGGATAAAAGATATTTCCCTCTTGGACTATGGCTCCTAGTCATCCCCCAGGTCTGGAAATGAACTCACCATCCTGGCTCAAGTTCCACTCAAACAATGGAGAGGTCTGGCTACCTGATTGCACAATAGCACCAGAGAGATACACATCCCTTAGAATAATAAAACTTGTGAGATGAAAAGGCAGAAGTTGTTAATGAGTCTTCCTTATATCCTGATAACACGTATTTCTACATATAATCCAGTTTCTCAGATTATTTGCTGAGAATACACATTGAATA